CAGGAATTTGGGTTGCTGCAGTCCATTACCAAGAAGAAGCTATGGGAGCCGATAACCCTAAATGGGCTACTAACACACCCTGGATACATATATGTCGTGTCAGAAGAAAAGTACAGCTGAAAATTATGTTTCTCACTTCATCTCACTTTCCCCACTCTCGTTCAAACACAAACACACACATACCCACACACTATGAGTTCCTGTCAGCAGAAGGGTGACATTAAAATTTCCTAATCTAAACCACCCCCGAGGATGACCTAAAGTAGCTTTTTTCTGCAGAACTAATGGGCACCTATCAAGAGACAGCTCTGACAGTGCCATGGCAAGAAGCAATAAAGCATATAGCAACTGCTGGTATTTCTTGGATGAAGGAAGATCCTTTTACATAGGAGCTGGGGTCCTCCCTGCCCAGCTCTCCTGAGCCTTTGACTGAGAGAAGTGAACTATGTGATTTATTCATTATTTTCAATTCTGTTTCTAAAGGAATCACAGAATTGTGGATAAAGAAATTTCCTCATTGAAGTCAAGGTAAGTGTTGTCATTTATTCCAGCATAATCAGTATATCCCCCTCAAAGCACAGAAGTTATCTGCTCATGTAAAAGGACACTTACCATATCTGGAAGTCTCATTTTTTGGCAAGTTAGCTCTGAGAATGAAGTTGTTCAAGCTGTTGAGATAGGCAGGAAGGCTGTGATAACCCTCAGGATTGTACCACACCTGCACAAAATTGAGAAATTGAAACAATTTGGGAGAGATGTTACTGATAACATTATGGTTTGTTCTGCTTGCACAAGTGAATCATTCCACAGTTGCTATCTAAAGGCATAAGCTCTGCAAGTTGAAGTGCAATGATTAAACCATGTCAAATACTGAATAGGTATAAAAGCAGATTTCACTTTCAGCACAAGCAGGTCCATCAGCTACACCTGTCTTCTGGGAAAGGAGCAAGCAGCACTAGCTGGAGGTGTGACAAAGTGTACACAAACTTGGTTTCCTCTCTGTAATACATTCCTGAGATCTGACAACCACCAGCTGTAGGGACTTCCCAAAAGCAGCTGAGCAGTCAATGTCTAACACCGCTTGAAACTTGGGGGAAAAAACGTTGCTTTAGGGCAAAAACCAGCCAGTTGTCCCCTGCTCATTCAGCAACAGCCTTTCCCTTAGCATGACAACTTTTCTCACCTATACCATGATAAACCCTGAGGGCTGGAGGGAAAAATCAGATCACAGGACATGCACTTGGGGGGATTTACCATCACCTACTTCAGACATAACCCACAGCACTCAGGTCAGAGATGTAAGTTACCCACCCACCAAAGGACAGAGAGCTTAGGCTATTGAGGTTAGAGGCTCAAACACAGCCCACAGCATCCACCTTTGCATATTCCCAAGTCCTGCTTATTCACTGATTTCATCCTCCTTGCCCTACCAGAGCAAGGACTGGAGTCTGTCCTTCTTCCATCACTACCAAGTTTTCCAGGTATTAAATCTGACATGGGACAAGCAATAGCTGTAGCTTTCAGATCTAAGATGAAGCTGTAGGATTGGAAGGGTGAAAACACCTGCAAATTTATTACATGAGCTGCAAGTGTTAATGAAACAAGACCTGTGATTGCCTGTTATTAGAGCCCCCTCTGAAAACAACCCTGTTCTTGCAGAGATACTCTCCTGGCAGCTAGGTTTGCAATGAGAGCACAGGATCTTGTCAACTCTGTTGCATTTCCCTACTGCCTCAGGTTTCAACTTTGGTGTTTTACAACATTTTCCCTGAGCAGAACCAGAGAAATGGGTATATCAGAACGCACCAGCCAGCCCTCATTACGGTACATACATCCTCTCATGAGATAAAGGTGCTACTAATTGATCTTTTCACCTCTGTATAATAAAATTATGACAGCAGAAAAATTGCCTCCTGCTAGCAAGAGAAGTTAAACCAATAAAGAAGAACAGGGACAGAAAAGGAAAAGAACTGCAAATAATCTCTGTCATGCCAAGTTGCAGATTTCAGGGGATTTTGCTTTCTTTTCTGCAATATCCATGAACTTAACATTGCTTCTCCTGTGTCCCACACTTCCCATGCCAGGATGAGCAGATGAAGGTTAGTTACCTTAGTCAATGTCCTGTTGGGGGGCACAGGCCTGATGTCAAACTGGAGATCTGTTGTCAAAGGCAGACCAAAGCTCCAGCCACCATACCTGAGGGAAAACCAGAGGGAAATGCATTGCTACCCTTATTCAAAAGCTTTGATACCCTTGGCTGGTGCATGTCAGCATGTCACTGCCACCCCAGGTAATGCTAGATTGACTTAAAAGAGCTTATCCCAGTACATAGTGTGGGGCCAAGCCACCATTGCTGCAGAAGAAAGAGAAACAGAAACTTGGCAGCACTATCACAAAACTGTGCCAAAAGCCTCTGCTTGAGAAAGATTTTGGAGCTGTGTAGATTCCTAACCTGTGCTGGAGTAAGATGACTGTCTCCTACCCAGGAGACAAGCAGCTCAGTTGATATCAATGGCAGATGAACATATTCTTTGATGACAACCTTAGTGGCAGGCCACTTTTGCCCAAGCTGTGCTGAGCAGCTGTGTTGCAGAGTCCAGACACACTAAAAGCTCCAGCAGCTCCATGGCACAAGGAAAAGTTCAGCCTCTGCTTTCACTGGAATGAGTGTGCTTGTTTGAGTGAAGCACACACTGAGACCCTTCAGAGAATCAACCCTGGAGGAAAGTCTCTCCCCAGGGATTACTTCATGACGGGCTGTGTCAGATTTTCCTCTTTTTACAGATTTCTGAGTCAGACAAAGGCTTGCCTGCAGATCCAGCCCCAATATGCTATCCCTAGGCTATCTCTGCTATGATCAAGCAGAGCACTTGCACAAGCCTTTAATTCCATGATTGCAGGACACTACAACCTCCTTTCACCAAGTTCACAGAGAGGCCCTTCTAAACCCCTACAGCATTGTCATTGCTTCAAGCTCGGGCTTGGTAGGCGTGAGAGGCTGCTCCCAGTGTAACTCAAAGGACAAGGACTTGGAGGTTCATGCTGTACCTTTTCTGCAGGAAGTCTTTGGTAGTTGCCAGGATGTAGGTCTCCACGTTGTGCCCTGTAAGGTTATAAAGTGTCCGCGTGGAGAAGGTCCTTCTGTGAGGGGGAGTGTAGTTCATCTGTGGACATATCTGAGCAGAGACAAATAAATAAAAATGTTAGTGTTTGTGTTTTAACTGAGAACTACCATATCAGGACAAGACTGAGAGCAGGCAATGACAACATTCTGGTCCTAAGACTAATTCCTACAGAAGCGGATGCTTCACAAATCATGGTGCAGACGCACAGCATACATCAGCTTTAGTGAGGAGGTGTCCCTGCCCATGACAGGGGAAGTTGGGACTAGTTGATCTGTAAAGTCCATTCCAACCCCTAAATTCTATGATTTTATGATTCTATCCCTGCACCCGGTCCTCAGTGTATTTAGGGAGGTGCTTAAAAACAACCTTTGCTCAAATCTGAGTTTCAGTTCTAGTGACATCAGTGAGACCTTGAAACGTGCTTCATGCTGTGTAGGAAGATTTTGGCTGAATTAAAGCTGATCCTACTTAGCAGAGTGACTGCACAGACAACTGCAGAGGGCAAAACAACTCACGGAGCAGAAAACTCTGTGGTGGCCTCAAACTCTCATCTTCCATTTCACAGCAGCTATGCTCTACATTTCTGCTTTACTGTCAGTCACCGGGAATATTTTCCTGGGCTTCAGAGAAACCTTGAATTAGTCCTGAATATATAATTTACTTGCTGAGGGTCAAAATCACATGCACTGTTTCATGAGGTCGAAGTGTCCTACCAGACAGCATGCTGGCTGTTTCCTTCAGCTCATCCATAACAAAAGCCCTGGCCTCCCCCATTGTGTGTCTGTTCATCAGAATACACTAAATAGCTTCCTCCATGCTGAGGAACACCTGCCTGTGCCCACTAGAGGTGAGAATCAGCTTTGAACATTATCCTGACTTACTGGAGAAATGATGCCAATACTTTTAATGATGTGAAATTAAGTGTATGTCCAGAAAACTGCACAAAAGAGCTGCATTTTAAAAAATGACTAGGAACATTCAACTAAGTACATCCTTTATCTTACAAATGGCATCATGCTGTGCCATGAGTCTGATTTCTACTGGAAAAAGCTGAACACAAGCCAACAGTACTGGAGGGAGGAGAGCTAAACCTCAAACTGAACTGTAAAACTCTAAGACCCTTGGGGCAGAATCTGCCCTTTCCCCATGTGCATGCAAAGACACTAAGCCCAGCAGTGCCTTATCTGGCTCTGTATGTGCCACCATAATGCAAATATTGTTAACCATCACTATTTATAACAAGGAGCAGATGTAGACTTTGCATAAAGTTAAATTCTGAAGAGCAAGCAGCAATAATAGCTGTGCTTTTATATAATGACAGTGCTTGCATAAGATGAAATTTTCTTCTTGAATACACGTTCACCTCTGCTAAATCGGACAACTGTATGACATTTGAAACTTTCATTAAACCTTTTCCCACTATGGGGAACAAGGCAGATATATTAGAGTGTGAAACTCCTGAGGATGCTGTTTCCTTTCCTGTCCCCAGACTGGTGCAGGCAGTGGTTATCCATTGTACAAAATCAACAAGGCCCAAAAGAGACAGCAGAATTTTGAATGCTGAGTCCCCCTTTAGTGTCATGCCTGCCCATAAAACCACTCCCAACATACAAGGTCCCACAAATATCCCCCCAAACCCCCTCACTTTTGTGTTTATCCAAATTACCTGGATGCCATCTGTGCAGTTGCAGGCGGAATACTTAGTTCTCTGGTTTCCACTGGTAATCCACTGGCCAAGCATGTCCTCTGTTAAACACTGCCTGAAAAGGAACACATTTTCCTCTGAGGGTCTCTATGCTCACGTGTGCAAACGATGCTAATTGCTGTCATGTTTAATGACAGAAAGGATGGCAGTTGAGCAGCTTCAGCAGAAAAGCAGACCTGCTTGTCAGCTCTGGGTGCTTCAGGGAATACCCATCCTCCTGCTGCCTCCTGTGCCTCTCAGCAGAGAGCCCTCACTACTGCTCCCTGCACCTGAATTCACACAGCTGATCAGAAGGAATCCAGACACTGCTTCATTCCCACAGTAGACAGTGCAAGGAGTTGGTACATAAAAGCCAAAAGCACCTTAAAATAGCCCAGAAATTAGGGCTATTTTCGTGGCAATGACTGGGCAGTCCTGCAATGGACTGTTTGCCTGGGCAGTCAGTGTAAATGCTCAGGATAAATATTTGCCTGCAGATACATGGCACAGCATGAGCATGGAAGTCTGACTATAATTTTACTCCCAATTCCTTGAGAATTTATCTGTAGAGTCCAGAACAAACCAGCCCTCATGGCACAGCTTTTAGAGAGATATAGCAAAAGCTGTGCTGAGAACTGGCTGTGTGGGCTCATGTCATAATCGGGATTATTGGGGCAGCAAGGTCTACTTCCCAGAGATGAGCATTACTCCCAGGATGAGCACTGCTCTCGTCCTGGCATCTTGCCACCACCAAAACTGCTTCCTTACTATTCAGAGTAATAAAGGAGGCCACTCGTGGTGGTGAATACTTCTTGAGGCAAGCAAAGAAGACCAGTATCAGGGTCCTGGAACCATGTGCAAGTCCTTAAAGTACAGTATAGTTTCCTGTCTTCAAGAATATCCACAGTTCTGTGCTGGCAGACTCAAGCCTTTGCTCCAACCCACAGGGGAGCACGCTGGGCTCTTGGGAGGGCTGAGGTCTGCTTCACACCAACCATGACTACACAGCTCCCTGCTCATAGCTGCCTCATGTCCCAGCATCTCCAGCCTGTGAGCAGTGCAAGCAAAAGGCCAGTGAGCCTCTCCCAAGGAGCCAAAAGAGTCTACAAGCCAAGCTGGAGACAGGCAGGAGACTTTTCCTGTCTCTTCATGTGGCACCAATGCATGAAAATTCTGCAGATGATCAAAGATGCTTATTAAGGTCTAAAAGCTAATAGTGTCATTTTAATTCTTTTACAGATTTGGAATTTAAGTGGAAAAACCCAAGAACTACTTACGAGTTGCTTTCATTCATGCATGTGTTGTCCGTTCCAGGGAAAGCAAGCATTGAAGCTACTAAAGCATCTGTGGTTTTGTTAAAATTCCTAAGATTTAACAAAGAGAAAAGAAAACAGGGAAAGGTTCAAAGAACTTTCACTACCACTGGGCAGAGGAAAACTGTGTTTGAATGAAACAGGATTTAAGATGTTAAATAAATGAGTATTTGTGGAAGCATCACTGAAGCACATGCAGTACATGAGGACAGTCACACGGGTTTAAAAGGAGTTCTCATCACCTAGAGCTACTTCACTGATTTCCTGCCTCTAGATCCAAGCAAGATACTCATGAACTTTTGGACAAGCAAGATGCTATTTCCAAGTAAAAAGCATATAATGCTATTTTCAGTCACTACTTCTAGCCTTTTCTCAATCAGCTATCTCATCTGTGACATCAATTTGGTTCTGATCATTCAAGGAGATGTTCCTCAGTTCTGCTCCAGGTCTCTAGCAATGATCCATCAGGAGAAGCAGGGAACATTAGGAGCAGAAGACTCAGACATGCACCCCTGGCTCATGCCCCCATCTAGCAGGACTGAAGTGGAAATGCATGAGCAATCCTAGTGAAGAACACCTAGAGCAGACACACTTGCTTTGGAGCTAAAATTTGTATTTCTGACTTAGAGCCAAGAACAACTGGAGAAAGAAAGAAGTTCACGACATGAAAACAGAGTGATACAAATTATAACAATTTTGGTAATAGGATTTTTAAGCACAATGAAATAATTCAGTGGTGACATCTTAATTACACTGGAAAAGCACATGCTCTTCAAATTGCCTGTGTGCCTTGGACTGGCAGGGCCTGGGCAGAAAAGCACATCCTGTACTGACAGACAGGACAGGACAACGCAGACAGCTCACCAGATGGATGGAATTTGATCCCATAGCTGTAATGTTGAAGACAACTGATGTGGAGACCTCCACTTTGCATTGGGAAGAGTGTATATGTATTAAAGAAATCCCTATGGCTGTCACAGGGCTGGAGGACTCCGATGGGAAACATCAAGAATATTGCTCACACATTTCATAGTTAATTCCAACTGAGAAGTTGTTTCTCTGAAGCTTGCTGATTGCTGGTCTGAGACAAGCCATCTCCCCCAGAGATCCCTTAGGAACAAGATTTCTACCTGTTGTCTGCATAACATAACTCCACTAACACTTTGCTACTGGGTGTGCTTAGAAATAATCCTGGCATCATAACTGGCTCTTTACAAACAAATGGCTGTAAGGGTCACAAAGAACACGACTCACCCAAAGAAGTCTGCCTGGTCAGATGTGCCATACAGAGAGGGGGAAAGCAGCAGTTCAGGATATTCAGTCTCCTTAGTTCTCAGTGTCCCAAGTCCCATGGCAGCCATCACAAAGAGGACTGGGAGGATGACCTGAGCAATGAAGCCTCTGACATCTCGCCGGGTATGGTGGAATCTCTTGATGAACAAAGCTGATGTCTTCTTCAGCAGCAATGGCAAACCCTGCAGGCTTTTGGATCTGATCAGGAGCTGATCTGGGTAAAAAGGAAGGCATTTTTTCAGATTTTGTGCAATGCAAGGAATTGATGGTTATAGCACTCTGGGAGTATATTTTGCTTCCTGCACACCTTTACAGATGGCAGATCAAAACTACTAAGCTGGTACATACACAAGTGTCAGGCTTGGCACAGGACTTAGATTTTGGCTTGAGTCATAAGCTCATGTAGCACCATTTTTTTGTTACATTTCAAATGCATGTGTGTAGTGACTTTCAGTTTGAGATCTGGCAAGAGAAACACAGGCTTCCAGATGCAATAAATTATCTACATCCTACCTACCTACAGGGGAAACTTATTATTCTCTTAGATTCACAAAGTGAAAGCTTTCATCCCTTAGAAAGCAGGTCCTCAGACAAATCAGTAACAGAATTAATCCTGAAGTAAGAAAACAAGCAAAAACCACTTGACCTCTTGCATGGAAAGGTTCTGTGGTATACTAAAAGCAGAGCCAAATCCTATGCCACCTATTCCTCTTTATGAAATAGTAATATAACATGAAGCAAATCCTTTTCAGTCTGCTCTGTAAGGGTGACACAAAACACTTTTGTACATATATGAGTGACTGTTTACAGCAACATTTACAGTGCAGGCCAGCTTTGAGAAGCAAGTACAAAAATACCTCGGCATTGTGCGTTGGATGCCTCCCTAACTATAAAGGGTATATTTATATATATTTCCTAGAATCATAGAATCATCTGGGTTGG